TTTTGTGGGTTGTCACACAAGAAACTAGGGCATAGCAACGAAAGGTTACACCATCTTGGTCTTTATACCTTAGAATAAAATTAAATCTGCGCTTGGTTTTTGAAACTAATTAGCGATACTAATTACAAATAAATAAAAGTAGTTCCTGAAATTTCCTACATCTTGTTAGCTAAGATATAATATCACTAATATACTAGCACATAATGAAATATAATTAGAATTAATTATTAATACTGGTGTAGGCTAAAATAATGTTACGTTGATAATTTTTGTTAGAATAGAGTTACAGCTTACAGAGGTATCCGTTTCCAGAATTTTACATTGTGCTGCAAGTGCCAGCTCTACAATCTCGGGAGAAGCGAGCGTAGCTGGAGTGGGGGTATTGCTTAGCCGTACAGAGTCCGTTGTTCCTTGGGCTGCACCTGAAGTCGCTAGCTGCCATAGCAAGTGGAGTGACTTATTGGCCATTTGACCGGTTACATCGTCCTCCGCAAGACGGCGAATCAGATCAATGAGACGCTCCCGCTGCCTAGGATTGGCTATCAAGGAGCTACGCTGTAGGGAACGATTGTAAATTATAATTTGAATCAACAGAACTGTTTACGCTTTATATCGGTAAAGATATGAACATACTGTAATTATATTAAAATATTATCAAATAAATGAAAAATGTAAATAGAAATATTCGTATAAAACCGATATGAAATTTATCACATCAGAACCTTTAATATACTTATCATTTCATGAAACCACGCCGGATAGTTGCTTAAAAACATACCAATATTTTAATCGAAGGTATGAAGACCAAGATGCTGTGACCTTTTGTGTGGTCGCAGTCTCCCTCCGTTGCATAGAGGTTTTTTGACCTTGTTTTCACAACATGGTCATATTGGTAGGAAGACTTAGACGAACGCACCTAGTCTGGAGTCCATTGTATGCATGATCATCTCCAACGTCTGACCATGGACGTGGTACTTTCCCAGACCAGACTTGTCTCTTTGACAAGTTGTAGATTGGTGCTAAGAATGGCGATACTCACTGACGATGCCGGTGAAACGTTTGGAAATGTACCATGTCCACAGTTCGACTTTGGAAATGATCATGCAGACAATGGACTCCGGACTAAATGCGTTCCTTTAAATCTTCTTACCAATCTGACCATGTTGCGAAAACAAGGTCAAACAACCTCTAAACCAATAGTTTCAACGAACGTCAGTCATTTTACTGTTGTATTACTTATTTCCGTCCGTAAAGATGTTCAGCTTGTGTATAATGATCCAATGGAACTTACTACATTAGGGGAGTCTTCAAAACCCAGTTTCTCTTCATCAATCAATTATACTTTGGGAGACCAGCGTTCAGTAATAAATCATATACTAAGATGCCGAAACTCTATTAAAGCAAAAGCTTGAATGAAGATGGGGATGAATTTTATCCCGGCTAACATGATAACAGCTAAAAATATGAGGTTACTTAATGTTTAGAAGGCCAAACAAGTTATATAATGGACATGAGGAAACATTTACTAAAAAGACAAGCTAATTTGGGAATTCCAGTCATTAAGATGCTAAACCCATTACTGATACCTCCTTAAGCCAGATGAAGGCAAGTGTATCATTTCGAAGCATCTGGTTTAAAATCAGACACCTTTTACTTCTTCATATATTTTTGCAAATACTGACTATTCACAAGAAAGAATAGAGAATATCAGATCGTCTAGCAACTTAATAAAAATTCGCACATAGAATAACAGCATTGGCAACTTTGAAAGTAGCACGATTTGATCAATCGAAGCCCTACAACGCTGAATAAAGTTGGTGTGAACTAGATTTCAGGCTAAAATATAGACATTTAAGAAATTGCCAAGTCCGGCATCCTTTATCATAGTAGTTATACCAGTTGGAGTCGTCACTTAGTGTAGGGGATAGCGCTTCTCAATGAAGAAGCAAACTAGTGCCAGCGAAACGTCTGGAAAGATATCATGTCAACGGTCTGATGCTAGAAAAATATCATGATTACTAGGTCAGCAAACAAAAGACTGGGCGATCCTTTCAAGTTCGCGCTGAGGCAATCGCCTTCGATTCTGGCTTTCGTATATTGTATGATTAACATATGACCATATTCAGGCTAACGAGTCAAGAAAACTCGTTAGCTTAAATAGGTTCGCAAGGATGATACCTTACTCTAATGATGTCCGCCATAGGAAGTACAAAAGCCTAGCACGTTTTTGCCAGAATCGAATGAGATTGCCTCGGAAACAGCGTAAACAGGAATTTTCCAGTAAAGCCAATAGACAGGTGATCAAGAGGAATCTGCCGTCACCTTCTGATGAGATGGACCTTCGAATCTCTTTACCAAACACTTTTACTCGAAATGGAAGTAAGTTCAATAACTCCGGAGTGTCAGAACAAATCCGAGAAGAACGCCGAGTAAAATTTACTGGAAGAGCAGTTAAAGAGATGGGATCAAACAGACTAAATTATCTGAAGACAATCCTAAAAGCCTTCGAGATTAAGTAGACCCTTCTAAATCTTACGAAGACTTAGTAAATGTGCAAACTCACTGATCATGTCGAGTACGATGCCAGGCCAAAACTGGAAATAATCATAACTATAACAGCAGAAGAGACCGGTCAAGGTACCCCAATTAAATAGCCCTGACAACACGACAAAATTGCGAAAACGAGGTCATATTACTTCTATAAATCGAAG